AAAGGGGGGGGGGGGCAGGGGAGAGTACATGGCGAGAGGGCTTGAAAAGCCTTGACCACGGGTCGGTGGTTAGCCTGGCGGCTAAGGTGACATCCGAGACGACGCCCTCCATGCCATGAGGCGGCTGCTTTTATACCGTGTTTCCTGCTGGATGGCATGACTGCTTTCTCGTAGAATTTGCGGCAAGGCTGATGAAATCCTGGCGGCTGTCTCGAGCCTACGCTTGACTTGACACGACTGTCTCGAGCTGACGCATGACTCGACATAGCTGACCTATGGCTCGACAAGCATACTCCTGCAGCAAAGTTTTTGAAGTACTTACATCGAGAAGAAAGATATAGCCTGGAAGAACTTCAAAGATATACCATTTTGATACGCTGAGTTATTTCCTTATTAGTGTCGAGGCGACTCCCGTAAGAAGAGTCCAATTGTTGCGTGGAGGTGCTTGCAGTGTCAAGGCGACCTTCATAAGTAGAGTCTATTTGTTGCGTGGAGGTGCTTGCTTTGCCAAGGCGACTTTTACAAGTAGAGTCCAATTGTTGCGTGGTAGTGCTTGCACTTAAACCACCAGCCGACTCGTAAGGTTCAGTGCTGTCGCCAGTAGTTGCGACAATTTCCTTATTTTCATCGGGTAGACGACCTTCGATACATAAAGCACATAGAAATACAAACAGCCGAGAAATTCCTACCTTCCGAGGCGTATATCAGATCTGTGCGAGTGAACAGTCCTGTTCCGGGCCCAACCACATCGATCAACTCCTCCGATTTCTGGTAGTGAGTAATAGCCTTGTCACGGTTGAAGTGATGGATTTTGAGGCACCACCGCCCCTCAACGATTCCTTTGTGCTCCTAAATACAGGACCATCCTAGTTCTGTCAGAGTAAGGTACTCTAATCGAGATTACAAACTCACCAGCACGGCCCTTGCCATATTCATTTCTCTCACTGTCGTTATTAGGACATCCGTCAACTCGTCTATACGTATCTTGCTCTGAGGGAGAAACACCTCTCTTGAGGTGCTTGTGCCATCTTTCACACATTATAGATGTGTTCATTACCGCTCCTTTCCTGTGATGAGCGCTCCATTCTTCTATTCTGTGCGTCCTGTCATGTCAAGATTTTGCACGAAGTTGTCAGAATGCAGAGAATTTTTTTTGTTGCATGTAGTTGACCATTTCGTATTCATTTTCCTTCAGTAGGAAGGTGAGGCAGTCTCCATATTCTTTTGTGAAGATCGCATCGCTGGATGACTTGCTGATAGGTCGGACTTTTGTCATGAACTCGTCAATGAGAGACTGCTGCAATACTACAAATTCTTTGTTAAGTTCTTCATCGCAGAATGCTTGAAGGATTGCAAACGCGCTAATTACAAAGTTCTTTACGTGTGACCGCACCAGTAAATACTTTTCGAAAGGTATTGTAAAACGAGAAAGCGTCGTCGCTCATAAGGTAGAGGGGCGGGAAAAATCGACACACTTCCCTGATTTTTTCGAATAGAATGACCACTTCTTTTTCACTCATTCTGCGAAACGAACCTTATAGTATGGCGTCAACATTTCAACTAATCAGTACCTAAAGCTGAGCATAAATGCAGCTGGGAGCCCACGGTCACAATGGTCTGCTACTATGTATAATTGTAGCAAGGCGAAGCATATACATAAACACGTTGAACGTGTCATCAATTCCAATACCCTTGTGTGAAAACCCGGCCAGCCACCTTTTCTGCGTTTCGTTTATCATAACTGTAAAAAAACAATGTCTTCAGAAACATAGTTTGCCATGAAGCCGCTACTCACCTAAACAAAATCCATCACCCGCGCTATCGATACTGGAGGCATAGTAACAAAAAAGCTGTCGTTGATATTGTTTTCATTGATGCGCTTTTCGAGTAAGAGGATTTCATTCGAGTCACGCCTTCCAGGCAAAAGATTACTGCGTTCAGGTATCTTTCTGAAAGATGTGGCGCGTGATTAAACAACAGTTCCTGATTTCTTTCCCAGTGGAGCCTTCTTCACGACTGAATTTCTCCCTAATCTTCTTTTTGACTTGTTCATGATTGAGCCCTTCACGAAGTAACTCCACCACAAACATTTTGTTTTGCCTAACCATAGTTGCGAAGGATCTGCTTCATGTCCTATGTGGGCAAGACAGTTCGATTTGAATATCCATGTTTGAGGTGAATCTCACTTAAAGCATCTATCTTTATCACTGCCTGAAATATTGGGCTATTTTGCGACGACTCACATTTATAAATGCTGTGCTATGAGTGACGGTCCGTTTACAAATATTAGACGAATATGCAGTAAGAGGTAGTGGTCCTGACCGATGGCACCTGTACACTCGTGTCACATCCTCGTCCGTTTTCTTGCTCCGCGCCGCGAAGGACGTCACAGATGTTTCCCGTGCTGCCTTCAGCCACGCCTAGAGTCGCGATTTACTCGTCTGAAGAGCTCGATCGGTACATCCTCCATTACCTCGAAATCGTCGTTGTTGTCAAATGCCAATCTGATTACGTGGTACTCATCATTTGCACCATGCGAACTTGAACAGTGTTCAACGAGTTATTCTAAGTCCCGTGCGCTCTCACCGCATTCTGGACATACCACGTTTTGACCTGGAAAATTGAGAAGACTTACACCTTTCTCATTGAAGAATACTTGTCGCAGTATCCGGTTCAAGCTGTATGTGGTGTCGTTGGCGCACGAGGAAAGAATTTTCCAGCGAAGAGTCCTTATCGCAGTCCCACATGTAATGATCTCGTTGTTCTCTTAATCTTCTCTCTTTTTTGGCTCGGCTCTATGGCGTTTCAGGTTGTCCAACTGCTATTCGGTGTACTCATGCTCACCACACAAGCATTCCTGCGACATTGTTTAGAATTCCTGAGAAGTGCTACTCAACAGAAAAAGCAAAAACAGCAAGTAAAAAGCAAAAGGAGAGCGAAAGAAAAACAACAGTAGAAAAGAGACAAAAAACATGTAACACAAAAAAATACATCCCTAGAGAACATATCCTACTCTTCAAAATTCTCACCGAGATATGATTCACAAAGCTGATTTCAAATGAGCAAGGGTAATGGATATTCAAAATAAACTCACCTTGAAACGCACGCATAACACGATGACGGAATCAGTATGAGATAGAACCAGATATGAGAAAGAAAGGGATCTGCAAGAATTAATTAATGATGGTAGGGGATATACGAAATGGACTTACCTCAAAACGTAACGCTCGTCACACGATGTTAGAAACAGATATGAGACAGAGGCTGATATGAGACAAAACAGATCTGCAAGGATTAATTGAATAATGGTAGGGGATATTCAAAATGAACTTACCTCGAAACGTTACACTGGTCACATGATGACAGAACAGATGTCATCTGCAAGGATTAAATGAGTGATGGCAGTAGATATTCGGAAGAAACTCACCTCAAAATCTTCTTCAAAATTCTGATAGAGAGAATTAAGACTTGCAAGGTTGATCCTAAGCAAGTGGTAGTTAGTAATATTCAGAAAGGACCTGATTTGAGTGAACGTGGCGACCACTGTTCCTAATAACAAAGCGAAATCTGACTTGTTTCTTCTAGCGAGGAAAAATCTTGAAAGGGTAAGCTTAAAGAGATTAACCGAATGCGCTCTAATGCGAAAAACGCGCCCCAGTGAGAATTCGGGTTACTGTGGCACACATTTATGGGACGATTAAATCCGTCTTGTCGAACACTGTCGCGTTAAGATTGAATTAATGATGTTGCAGATCTTCAAACGAGATTTTTGATCTCAGGGCTGATTTCCATTAAATCAAAGCAGCAAATAGATTGCAACCTTCGATTTTCTGCAATGCCACTTGAATCTTTTTAGGTTTTATGTTCTATGCAGTCGTTTTATTGATATTTGAACAAAGATCAAGCCTTTACTTCTCTGAGTGTACCCGAAACGATCGACGAGCAACAACCCTCGCCGAGTTGCTGCACATTACTACACATTCTTTATTCTCCAAATCTCCGTTTATCTGTCAAAATACGAAGTTTTCTAGTTGGAAAAGCCTATCTTTTCAAAAATCCTCCGACTCTTGAACTCGTTCGAATATCTACTCTTGACGAGAGAGCGCTCTGAAGGAGAGTAGGGACAATGAGCGGACGCGCCTCCCCCCGCTGGTCGACACGACACGCAGAGGCTGCTTCGCCGTCTGATTCTTTCAGCGAGAGAAATTCTAGTTGACAACAGCCCTGTAACCCTGAGTCTAAGGACTACTTGAACTCGGCTCCTACAACCCTCGGCGACCATGGCACCCGCCGATGGGTGCCACTATGACTGGCGCATGGTACCATGGCACCCAATGTTGGGTGCCGCCATGTTTTTTCCTTTATTTGCACATTTGAAACTTATTGGATGTTTTCAGATTTATTAACAAACTACATGGTATTTGTATTCAACATGGTCCACATGAATGTTTTATAGGAGATTATTTATTACAAACATATGTTGATAGTCAATGGAGTGGTGCTGAAAAGGTTTAGATACTTTGGCAAGATTTGTGTGTGTCCTGGGAGCATTGGAGCCACTACCTAAAATACCGTTTTGCGATTATGTGACCGCACGTAAATCTCTTCATCCTCAAGTTCCCTGGATGTTATACGAATTCCTAGTGCTTACACTATCACCAAAATTCTAACCTACATTGCCACTAAACCGCCACCCACTAAGTACAATTCTAAGAACCAGTTTTATGTACAATAAAATAAGATCTGATGTTTTTGTTATGCAGAAATATTGCTAAGTTCATCAGGGCACAGAAAGGAATATTATTTGGGACTATGGCACCCACCGGTGGATGTCAGTCGCGCATGAAAGGAAGGGGGCGTAGTCCCATGGGCGCGTCACGTCGTAATCGGCATCGTCGTCAAAGGGTTAATTGTGGGGACGGCGGCTATTTTTGTGGGTTACGGGAATGTTGTCAACCGCGTGTGGAGTGACTCAGCGTTTTTGTTGTTTTCTCTGCTTCCTTTTCAATAGGCATCTAACTTGTATAAGAATAGAGCGCAGATGGAAGAGCTGACCATCCCCCCCTGTCTACAGCAGCATTACAAACGTCGGTTCCAGATTGAGTCGTTGTTGCTGCAGGCTTTCGAATGATGTTGTTGTTCTCAAGGTTTACTAACATAAAGAATAATTTTAGGATACTGGAAAAGGCTGAGTTTCCTGCAATACCACACAGTAGTAACAAGGAAAATAAGGCCTTGAGATCTTTCAAGGCATATAACTGACCAGCCATTAACACCCCTTGGCTAACTACACATCACACTTACCCTCATTTCCCATTCCTCTATACCCAAATATCAACTCAAATGGGTCGTTTTTTTCCTAATCCATCTTCGGCTCGCGTACCCGTTCACATGTCCATTCCTGAGGAGCCTTCAGGAGAGTACAGGCAGCGAGCGGACACACCCTCCTTCCGCTGGCAGACACGACACGCAGAAACTGCTTCGTCTGAGAAATTTTGGGTGACAACATTCCTGTAACCATTTTTCTGCCTTCGTCTGTAGCTCTCCCGCTTGATGTAGTCTTTGAGTGTTGTGCTTATCCGTCCAATAGCACTCCCACAACCACCCCTGTAGGGTTCACCCGGGGATTTTCTCTGCGCTCTGGCTTCTTGCTGTCGGGGACGCAGGGAATGTTCAAGTAGTCACGTGACCGTTACCCTGACCATCCGGCTGATATACGTCTGACCGATGACGCCACTACAGTTAGACGCCGAATTGCGGACCTACCTGTATTCTGTCTTTTTCTATCGTCTATTTGGCTATTTTTTTCGTTTTTTGCTTTTTTAGATTTTTGAATTACCTTTTTAAATGAATACCGTGAGTTACAATGAAGTGGTAGTATTATGGTCGTTTTGGAGCCTGATACTTACTGCTTCAAAGTAATTTGCAGTTCATAT